TTTTTTTTTTTTGCGGTACGCGGGCCTCTCACTGTTGTGGCCTCTCCGTTGAGGAGCACAGGCTCTGGACGCGCAGGCTCAGTGGCCATGGCTCACAGGCCTAGCCACTCCGTGGCATGTGGGATCCTCCCGGACCGGGGCACGAACCTGTGTCCCCTGCATCGGCAGGCGGACTCTCAACCACTGCGCCACTAGGGTAGCCCAGCAGTAACATTTGACAAGCTGATTACTCCTTCCATTTTGAATCATATTCTTTACTTCATCTCCTGGATATCATTCTCTTTTATTTCTCCTTCTACTTCATTTTTAAGTTCTTTTCCCACGTTCTCCTCATTTCCCAGACCTCTAAACATTTGAGTACACCAGGGCTTAGTCCTCACACCCCTTCTTTAAGACCCATGGCTTTAAATACCACCCACAGACTTTTGACTGCCAAATTTATGTCATGCAAGATCTCACTCCTGAATGCCAGACTCATATACAAGTGCCTATTCGATATCCCCACTTGGATCTCTAACAGATTTCTCACATTTAATTTGGTTTTGCACCCTCTCCAAACATTCTCCTGCCTGTGTTAGCATGTAAGCAAATGTCAACCTCATTTTAGTCACTAAGCACAATAACCATGAGCTTATCCTTTATTCCTCTTTCTCTCTCCCTCCAATCTATCAACAAGACCTGATCATCAAAATCCAAAACTTCTCATCCATACCAGTGCTACCACCCAAGGCCAAACCACCATCATCCCTCATCTGACTAAAACACTATCCTCTTGAACTGTGCCTATTTGTTGATTTTTGTACCCCGAAAGGCCACTTACCACACTGCAATCAGAGTAGTACTTTAAAATCGTGATTTCACAGTACATCACTCATCTGTTCAAAATTCTCCAGTACATAGAAACAGACCTCAAGAAAATCCAGATGTTGGAATTAAGAGAAAAGAGCTTTAAGGTAGTTATTATATAACTATATTTAAGAATTCAAAGGATATTTATAAGAATGAACAGAGAATATCAGCAGATATTGCTGCATATCAGCAGAGAAATGAAAATGACAAAAAATAAACAAATGTATGTTTTAACACTAAAAAGTACAATATTTGTGAAAAAATTCACTGGATAGTCTAAACATCAGATTATAAGTTACAGAAGAAATGATTAGTGAAATTACAAAAAAGATTTATACAGTTTATCCAAGGTGAAGAACACAAGGAGATTTTAAAAATATGAAGATAGCCTTAGAGATCTGTAGGACACTATCAAGTGGTCTAATGTATGTGTAATTGGAGTCCAAAAAGGAGAATCAAGACATAGTGGGACAGAAAGAATACGATGAAATATTGGCCCAAAATAGCACTTCTTAGTAAGTCCTCAGCATGCTAACATTTATCTCACAGTATGGTATCAAGGAAACCCACATGTGACATTTGGTGTGAGGAATGATTCAAGAAAGTCACCGTGAATGGGATTTGAAAGCTGTCAAGCTAGTAATGAATACCTTACCATTTCCAGAGAGTGGAACACAGATAGTTCCTGGCAACTGTCCTGGCAACTGTTAAAACTTCACCAAGAGTGAACTTGGATCATATTCCAGTAGAACGAAGTGCCTTAGCTTTATCAACCATTTGAAAAGTATGGGGGAAAGAATAATTATAGAGATATAGGAATAATAATTATAGAGATAAAGAAAACTTGTGACAGTTACATATCTTTATTGATGCTCTAGAAAAAGATGATAGAAAGATAATTGCCAATTAAAAGATAAGTGTGAAATCCAGAATGCTTTTTTTGGTAGCATTGAAAGAGGCTCTCTATTCCTACAGTGAGCAGATAGAGAATGCTGAGGGCAAGGACTAGGACTTAAATATAAAGAGTAGCAGAGCTCCAAAAAACATTAAACTCTTTAACAATACATATTTTCTATGCCAAGGTCAGGGCCCTGGTTGGGAAATGGAACCATGACACACAGGATGGGACTGATAACACCAAAAATCATGAGTCCTCAGACTCCTTAATTACTAGCATTCCCCAATATTTTGAAGACAGTGCAGAGGCTTTTCCTCAGCAAGACATGAACTCTCCCAGGATTTTCCCTCCACCTTCCCTCCTGGTACCTAGGCCCATACGTAGGCTTAAGCAACAGCAAAACCAGGCCATAGATGTACTGGGCCTGATAAGGAAGGAAAGGAATGATATCTCAAAGGAATTGTAGAATCTAACCAACAGGAGCTGAGACCATGCATGGCACTGGAGTATGAGGGTGCATGATCAAGGAGGTGGAGCATAAGTTTATCAATCAAGAAACTTCTAGCATACAGGACTTAACACCCTCGTAAAGCTTTTGGGAGATAGACCAGGCCCAGTGCTTCTAGGGCAGCTCCTCCATGGACCACACATTTACATTTCTCAGTCCAAAACTATGGTAGCTGTCTTTCCCTCTGAAGAGATATAAAGTGCCTGGACATCCTGCAGAACATCACACTCATCTACTATATTGATAACATCACGCTAATTGGAGAAGATAAGGAAGAAGTAATTATTCATGGCAGGGTTTGGTGAGACCAAAGAGCTCCAGAGGGGAGAGAGAAACTCTCAGAAGTTTCAAGGACCAATCACATTCGTAAAATTTTAGGGTCCAGTATCTAGGGCATTCTAAGACACCCCCGTCAAAGTCCAGGACAAATTACTGCTTCTTGCACTTGCTATTCCCACCGTGAAGAGGGAAGCACACAGCCTAGGAGACCTCTTTAGTATATCATAGAGAGCATATTCCACAACTGAGCATAAGCCAAGACTCATGCTGCACAACATGAAATGCTGCCAGCTTTGAGTGGGGCCGAGAGTCGTAGAAATGGATTTGCAGTAGGTCCCAGCAGTGGTGCAAGCAGCCCTGCCTCTCAGACCATACAACCTGACAAATCCTATGTTACTGGACATACTAATAGTACAAAAGGGTGTTGTTAGATTTATGGTAAACC